ATATATATATATATATATATATATATATATATATATATATATATATATATATATATATATATATATATATTGCATCATTTAGAAAGAATACTGTACAACAAATCAATGAATAAAATATTTTTAAAACGATACAAAGATTGAATAAATACCGTTGTCTCACTTGATAAAACAACTTCCAGTATAAATTCATTGTAATCGAACATAAATATACACTATTAACTCAATATCTTTTACACATACAACAGACAGTATTAAAAATGTAACTTGGAATTATCAGTTTCGGGTCAACAGTTTATCATTATCAAAAATTTCAGACTCTTCCGTTACACGCATTGGATGCTTTCCATTTAACAACACAAGTCGACACAAGCTCTCTCTCTCTTTCTCTCTCTGTTGTTGTTGTTGTTGTTACTATGGTCGTGAAACTAGTTCATTGACCACCCAAGTAAAACACAAACAGCAATATAAAATTCCAATCTTGCAACAATATGTAATTAGTTCAGTCCAAATTATATCCTTCTATTAATCCTCCGGAAAAAAAGAGATAGCTCCTTGAAAGCACCTTCGTTGCTACTAAACACCATAGCTGCGTTTCACGCATATGCGCGCATTTATCTATAGTTCATGTTACGTATATTGTAGGCAATGCGCGCATAATGCGTGAAACGGAACGCAACCCATATCATCGAGATTGATAGGTTCAATTCCCTAGACGTTGCGTAGACCAATCCTCAGTAAGTCAGACTCCCGCTGATTACGCGGGCAATTTAAAATTACATGTTCAGAAGTCTCTGGCAGACCACAATCACAAAGCGGTAGATCACAGATATTTTTATCATATAAATGTTGCGCTACTTGTGTATGATGAGTCCGCAAACGTGATACCATAGTTAAAATTTCTCTATTAAGATGAACATGTAAAAACCAAGGTTCCAAAAGATTTTTAATACGCGTTCTATGAAAATACCTGAAATCTTTTTGTTTCGAGGTATCTCTAAAAAATTGATGCGATCTCTAAGCATTCTGCAAATTGTATTAGAAAACAGAACAGTTTTATGCTCCACAGATAAATTTATTTCACGGGCTGCGTTCTTTGCCAATTCATCAGCCCGTTCATTCTTTTCAACTCCAGAATGTCCTGGAATTCAGACAAACACGATATCAAAGCCTTGCTTGATCAAATAGCAATATATATCTTTGATAATATAAACTAATTCATGCTGTTTACCAGCTGGGTCACATCTGCCCAGAGCCGCAATGAGACTTCTAGAATCGGTGGCAATAACCACCTTTGTTGACTGTGTGTCAAACACCATGATCAAAGCATGTGCAACCGCCGTAGCTTCAGCCTAAAAAATTGATAAGTCTTTATCAAGTTTACAACTAAAGAAAACAGAAGGGGAGAAGGAAAACCCATCCCCACATCCATTTTTGAGCCATCAGTATAGAAAATACTATAATTAATATATTTGTTTTTATCCAACATTAATTTAAAATGAGAATTTAATTTATCACAAACTTTATCATTATTTAACACTAGACTATTGTTCTGTGTAAGTGAAAGAAAACGATTCATACATGAATCACCAAATCAACATTAGTATGTAACCGACAAAAAATTGACTCCAAATCAAAAACCAAAGGAACAGGCAGAACAGATGTATATAATTGGCGATAAAATTTAAAAAAAGTGATATAAATTGAATAAAAAAATTGCTCGCTTACACATGACCGGAGATTTAGGTTTCTATTAAATAAAGACCAAGCCAACTCTCTTACAGGATGCTCTGATACATTAAAACGCTTAATTAAAAATAATCTAAAATTAAGTTCTTTTCGCAAAAACAAAGGAGCTTCACCAGCTATGTGGAGAAGAACATTAGTAGGTGTTGTATGCATAACACCCAAGACAATTCTCAAAGCCTCGAATTGTAATCTATCCAAAATTATTGCAACATTTGGTTTCAGATCAATAAAAGCAGGCGACCCATATTCTAAAGCAGATCTAATCCAACACTTATAAACATTTATTAAATTACAAGGGTGCGCACCCCACTGCAATCCAGAAATTGCTTTCAAAACTGACAATTTTAATCTAACTTTTTTCCTAATTTCAACACAATATTTTTTCCAAGTTAAGCCCCTATCAAAATATACTCCTAGAAATTTAACAAAATTGACAGTGGGAATAGCACAATCCTGAAACTTAACAGCAAGTCTCCTTTTCTTAACAAAATTATCAGCTTTCCTATGTCTATTTGCAGAAAAAAGACAAAAAGATGATTTGGAACTAGAAATACTCAAGCCCAGTTGACGAAGATTATCATTTAAAACAATCAAAGCCTCGTTAATAAGTCTGTAAACAATCGAAATTGACTGAGTAGTTGTAAAGATACAAACATCATCGGCATAAGCTAAGTACTTCACATCATCATGTAAATTATGAAAAATGAAAGAAATATAAATATCAAAAAGAAGTGGACTTAAAACTGAGCCTTGGGGAAGACCAATCCTAGCACATCTCCTACCAAGAAAAACACCTTTCATGTATCCATCAATATTCCTATAATATAGTAAAAATTCCAAAAAACTGATAATTTTACTTGGAAGAAACATTTGCTTAAGGATTTGTATTAAAATATACGGATTAACATTATCAAACGCACCTTTAGTATCTAAAAATAAAATTCCTGTAAAGGCATTTTTAAAAAACTCCTGTTTAATCTCAGCCGAAAGTAAAAACAGATTATCCAAAGTGGACCTATTCTTACGAAAGGCAAATTGGAATTTAGAGATAAACTTATTATTTTCGAACCACCAGACAAGCCTACGAGAAATTAACCTCTCAAACAATTTTAAAAAACAATTTGACATAGAAATTAGTCTCATAGAGGTCGAGTCTGATTTTGGAATAAAAAGCGGCCATAAGCCAACTTCCCTCTCTCTCTCTGGTTCCAGGCCTGTACTCAGTGGCCCTTTCACAACATAAAAGAAGATTATTAGGAAGTAAATTTATAGGTTTTGATTTGTTTCTTTTAGGAAGGATAGAAGGGGATTGGTAAAGGTAAAGTTACTGGAGAAGATTGCAGCCTACAGATCTTGAAAATTTTGTATGTTAATGTTGTACAAGTTGTATATAAAGCCAACGGCACACGGTGCTTGTTTTCGTGCTGGATTACTTGCTGGATGGAAATATTTCATTTTGATTGATGCATTTCCATCCATCTTCAGAAATACACCAATCAAAATAAAATATTTCCATTCAGCAAGCAAACCAGCATGAAAACAAGCATCGTATGCCGCTGGCCTTATGGCTCTTGCACACAGGACACAGTAATGCTTGCCGCGCGGCAAAAGTGCGCGCGACAGCCAATCAATATGTTGTTTTTCCATAAAAGTTAGAAGGTTATTACGGAAAGCAGCATATTGATTGGCTGTTGCGCGAACTTCCGCCGCGCGGCAAGCATTACCGCTTCCTGTGTGCAGGAGCCATTAGTTTGGTCCAGTGGGCGTTGTAAATGTTTTGTAGCGTTTTTACTTCTTTCTCTTTCTTCATTCGAATCTGAGAAATAGAACAAGAGGGATAAACGCTAGTATAAACGTAGCATTTGTAACGATTGTTGGACCGCACTTTTTGTCTATTGTAAGGGCTTTTGCCACGTAGAAAAATTTTAACCATAACCGTAAGGTTGTAAGAAAACTGACCAATCAGAGTTGATTATTCTCCTTGCGTTTGAGGAATAAACGATTGTGATTGATCAGTTTTCTTACGACCTTACGGTTACGGTTAAAATTTTTCTACGTGCAAAGGCCTTAAGAGACGAAGCAAAGCACTGAAATACTACCTGGAACGCGTGTTGCTTCTTGAGGTGTGCGGGATGAAAGAAAGGTTCCTTGTTTCCTCTCTTATCCTGGTTCATAGTATAGTCGAGAGTGGGGCGAATGTGATACAATCCAAGTTAAAAGTTAAAAATAATATGAAAAGCAGTGACTACACATACTGAATGGCAATGACTTAAGCTTATGAACGAAAGTTTAAGTTATAAAAAAAATATATATTTTTCTCATTTATTAGTATTTACTTATTGACTTATTAGTAAGAAAAACAAAGCAAAGAAAGTTCCTAATTCGGAGATTCAGCTTATGTTTAGAAATCAGCCGATTTAGCTTTTGGTTCAGACCGTACTAGACAAAGACAGAGCGCTGTTTGAGACCTACAAGCATGCTCTCTTTCATCCCGCAATACTCAAGAGGTAGCGCATTCCAGGTAGCAGAGAGAAACCTGAAAGCGGCTACGCCATACGTTTTGGCCGACACCGATTTTCACGCTGTTCGATGCGCCATCTGCACCAATTTTTTAGGTGGAACTACGTTCCCTACGCCCATTTTCAGACGCTGCCAGTAAAGTTGTTGCGTATCCATTCTATGCCCATTTTCTGGCGATTTGTATTTGTGTTAAGCGCATAATTACATGGTTAAAAACATGGACAGTCCATGTTTTCAATCAAAATTCACGCAATTATGCGCCTAACACGGACACGAATCGCCAGAAAATGGGCATAGAATGGACACGCAACAAATCGACACTTTACCAGCAGCGTTTGAAAATGGGCGTAGGGAACGTAGTTCCATTTAAAAAATGGCGTATCGAACAGCGTGAAAATCAATGTCGGCCAAAACGTATGGCGTGGCTGCTCTCAGGTTTCTCTCTGCAGGTAGTATATATTTAAATGAAGCGGAGAGACAGCAAATCATCATTATCAAACCATCTAATCATTAAATTGAGAACTCGCTAGCGAGTTCCGCGTTCCTGTATCCGTAAGTTATAACCGTTGTATTATACTAACTCGTACGAAACGCTATTTTGTATTGCGCAAACATTTAATAAGTGTTTAATAAACTAGTTGTATATTATTCATTATTTATTATATTTGACGATCTCCTCATCGTTTCCTCTAATCATATAGATATTGCTCGTACCATTAAAGGACATTTGAACATTCTCAGTTAGCTCGATCTTACACTATTTGGTCTTGGTGAAGAGGACATTTAAATATGATGTTGTTACGTCCCGGCGGGTTGTGGCCACGCTGTCACGTTAACACAGGCTGCTTTCCGAAATTTACTGCCAGTGCTGAAATTCTATAGTATACATGACATAAACTATAGATTTTCAGTACTGGCAGTAAATTTTGGAACGCAGCCACAATAACGCTCGAACGTTAACACAGGATCGGATCGCAATTTTTTGGGCCAAACGAATCGCGTGATTCTATCCGGGGATCCGTGCGATCAAGGGTGGTCGCGATGGATTTCGTGCAAGACGCGTAGCATAGCCCTTACGATGGGTCGGACGGTCACAGGTAACTATAAGTTTCGCACGTATAGAAACAATGTAATGAATAACGACTTACCCGCGGTCATCTATCGCGTAGTTGCTTTTTATACCCATGGGTGGCGCTCTCATGACCTACATGGATCGGCACTTCCTGGATCTCTAGATCTTGCCGACTCTGAGGAACTGGATATCGTTCTGGATATCGCGCGGCAGCAAATTCGGATATTCGAATTATTCGACCGACGAGCACTAGAGAGGACTAGAGAGGAAT